AATCAAATTAGAGCCTTCCTTCAAATAGCATCGACAAATATTGTTTTATTATTGAAAATATTTGTGATAGCCTTAAAATGTATTTTCATCTTTATTTATAAAGTTTGAAGCTTCAAAAATAATGTAGATCGATAGACCTATGAAAAATTGAAAATTTTGAAAATTGACGGCCTAAAACTGCGCTACAAAATAAACTATTGAAATCCATTTTTTTCTCATGTCCATGCATGTTGATGTTGAGATAATCAATTTGAGCATCGAAACAACCTCTTCTAGTGCAATTTTTGAAGTAAGCTTTAATTTGATTGTTTAGAACGTCGGCTCTATATAAAATTTTTCCTATATATTTTGAACATTAACTAACTCATACATATTATATTGGATGCGTCAGCTTTCTTCTTAGACCAATATATGATTAGAAAATTTGTTAAAATATCTGAACTATTACAAATCATGATCATTGTGTTTTTGTCATGTTTTTTAAATTAAATCAAAGGATATTTGGATAAATTTAATCCTTTTTATTATTCTATATATATTATTTTGACCTGAAAATTTGAAAAATTGAGTGTTTAATTATTTTAGTTTTTGGTTGGATGCAAAGAATGGTTGTGTGCATAGGGTATGAGACAGCTCTCTGTTTGGGGTGAAGGTGAAAAATTTGGAAGAGATGGGGTTCACACGGAGGAAGTGGTGGGGGCCACACGTGTCGCGAGATGAATTGGTGCGGATTGAGAATTGAAGCGGGGGTCGTGTCGCCCTCTTGCCTGGTCCTGGCGGCCCCCTCACCTCACCTCACCTCACCTCACCTCACCTCACCTCAGGACCAGCAAGAAAATAAAAATAATAATAATAATAATAAAGAGAGAGAGAGGGGGGGGAACGGGAAAATGGGAAAATGAGTGAAGGAGGAGAAGTGGAAGTGCGCCCCGCCCCCTTCCTACAAATCCACCACGTGGGCTTCTCTCGCCATCCGACTCAAGCGGGACCTACCTTTCACCTCGCTGCTATTCCTTTTACCATTCCACCCCTACCCCTATAAATAACCCCACCCCACAACCTACACCTCTTCACCACTAAGCTAAGCTACGCTAAACTAAACTAAACTGTGAATAACCGCCAAATTCATTCCCTCCCTCCCCTCCCCTCCCCTCCCCTTCAACTTGTAACACTCCTCTAAAAACCTCGAACTCACTCCACTCCACTCCACTCCACCCCCCACAACCTGCTTTACCAGTCTCATGGGGAGCCTTTCGGCGAAGGTCATCTTTTCCCCGTCCAACGCCAATACCAACCCATTCCGCCTACACCAACACCACCTCTCTCTTCCTCTCGATGTAAGGCCCACCACTAGCAACGCTGCTCTGCGCTGCAGCTTAGCCACGCCACCTTCCGCCCTGCATTCGGCCCTCATCGACCTTCCATCTTCTTCTTCCCGACCAGCACCCAGCAGCAGCAGCAGCAATAGCAATGACCCACCCCCTCCTCCTCCCTCTCCGCTACCCCACAAGGAAAACACAGCTCCAAATTGGAACCTCTTTCAGAGAGTGGCTGCCTCTGCCCTCGATGCTGCCGAGAAGGCAGTGGTACAGGGCCTTGAGAAGCGCCATCCTCTCCCCAAGACTGCAGACCCTGCTGTCCAGATTGCCGGCAACTTTGCCCCTGTAGCAGAGCATCCAGTGCAGCACGAGCTCCCCGTCAGAGGCCGCATACCCAAGTGCGTTGAGGGTGTCTATGTTCGGAACGGTGCCAACCCCCTGTTCGAGCCCATTGCTGGCCACCACTTCTTTGATGGGGATGGAATGATCCATGCCGTCCGCATCCGCCACGGTCTCGCCAGCTACTCGTGCCGATACACCCGAACCAGCCGTCTCGTGCAGGAGGAGGTACTCGGCCGCCCCATCTTCCCCAAGGCCATCGGAGAGCTTCACGGCCACTCCGGCATCGCCCGCCTCCTCCTCTTCTCCGCGCGGGGCCTCTGTGGCCTGGTCGACCCCAGCCATGGCATGGGCGTCGCCAACGCAGGCCTCGTCTACTTCAACGATCGCCTCCTGGCCATGTCCGAGGACGACCTACCCTACCAAGTCCGCATCACCGAAGCGGGTGACCTCCAGACTGTGGGCCGCTACAGCTTCAATGGCCAGCTCCAGTCCGCTATGATCGCACACCCTAAGGTCGACCCAGAGACCGGAGAGCTCTTCACCTTGAGCTATGACGTGGTGAAGCAGCCCTACCTCAAGTACTTCAGCTTCAAGCCCGACGGAACGAAGTCCGCTGATGTGGCCATCCCACTGGAGCAGCCCACAATGATCCACGACTTTGCCATCACCCCTCGCTTCGTCGTTGTTCCCGACCAGCAGGTTGTCTTCCAGCTCCACCAGATGCTGCGCGGCGGTTCCCCCCTCGTCTACGATTCGACCAAGACCCCACGCTTCGGTGTCCTCCCACGGTATGCCACCGATGCGAGCCCAATCCGCTGGGTTGAGGCCCCGCCTGGCTGCTTCTGCTTCCACCTGTGGAATGCTTGGGAGGAGGTCGAGACCAATGAGGTGGTGGTGATCGGCTCCTGCATGACCCCTCCCGACGCCGTCTTCAACGACACATCTGTACCCTTCCGAACGATCCTCTCGGAGATCAGGCTTGACCTCGGTACCGGGAAATCGAGCGGGCGTGAGATAGCACCAGGGCTCAACCTGGAGGCAGGGATGGTGAGTAGGAAAAAGCTAGGCCGAAAGTCCAGGTACGCGTACCTCGCGGTGCTCGAGCCTTGGCCAAAAGTTTCAGGGGTGGCCAAGGTGGACCTCGGCACAGGAGAGGTCAAGAAGTTGGTCCATGGCGAGGGGTGCTACGGAGGCGAGCCATTCTTTGTCCCCAGTGGCAATGGAGGTGGGGAAGAGGAGGACGATGGCTATGTGCTGACGTTCGTTCACAACGAAGCAACAGCGCAGTCGGAGCTGCTGATAATAGAGGCAAAGGAGATGAAGGTGGAGGCTGCCATCAAGCTTCCTTCCAGGGTGCCCTATGGATTCCATGGCACCTTCATCTCCTCCAAAGATTTGCAGGCGCAGGCCTAGTGCACGCCCAACCATGTGGAGAGAGTGAGTGAGGGTTGTGGAGATCTTTGCCAGAGGGATGCCTTGGACATACGTCCCCGGGGTCTCCTTTCCCTTCCCTTTTTTTTTTTTTTTCCTTATTTTTAGTTTTTTTTTTAATTTGTTAGATGGGTACATAAGAGGAGGTAGGGGTGTGTTTTTTTTCTCGTCCCGCCGCAGCGCTCCACCCTTTTTTCTTCTCTCTTCTTGTGCTAGGAGGAGAAGATGATGTCGAGTCTTGTTTGTTTGGGGGAATCAGTTCGTAGCTTTACACTCTGTGTAGTAGACCGGAGCTCAGCTGATTCCTGTTATTCTTTACTTACTCTGTTTTCTTCAATAATTCGGTACATATGCATATGTAAATAAATATATATATGTATATGAAATTACGAATATAAAGATATCATCTTTCTGTTTGCAAGTTTTGTAATTTTTGGCTTTTTTTTTCTGGAGACGGAAATGCTCTTTTTATACACGTACGATACTTGCATTGAACAGGAAGTTCATTAAAGGGAGTCAACTGATAATGCAAAAGGAGATCAGGAAAAAAGAGGAGAGAGAGAAAGCCAAGTGTTGTTGCAAGTTACAACCCAATTGGTAAATCCGATGGACTTTTCCATGAATAATCCTGTCTGAGAGTGGATCGATAGAAATATAAATTGGGTGGGGGGATTTCACATTGGTGTTAGAGAGAGGATTTTATGTGGCCGTGGAGGTTTTCATAGAAACCGGATTTGGAGAGGAATTGGAGGAGATATTAAGATAGGAGAGTTGAGTGGGGGCACGTCGCTTTCTTTTTTTATTTTTGTTCTATTTTTTGTCGGGGACCTGAACCGCATAAATCAAAGAGTAATTTACAAAAACACAAAATGGGTTAATTTTGGGTGAAAATTATGCTCGGTTAATCCATATTTTTTTTTATTTTTTTTCAAATTACCCCTCGATCTCCTCAATTCGCTTTTTAATTTATTTGCTTTGATTTTTTTTTGTTAGTAGGGCAGTATTCTAGTGTGAGGGGAAGTGCCCCGTCCAGAAGGCAGTGTGAGGTTCCTTATTTTTTTAACAAATAAATGAACTAATACGGTCACCAACGAGAATTGACCCAAAACATTAGGGCACAATCCTACTATAAAAAAAACTAAAAAAAAAAAATCTAAAATTAAAATACATCAAATTGAAGGACAATTTTGAAACAAGCAAGCAACCTCCCTGAAGTGTAATTTTAACCCCAAAATTGACTCATTATTTCAGTAATTATTTTTTGTACTCTAAATCAAATGGCCTCGCCTCGCCTCGCCCCTCCCCAGTGGGGAGGGTGGAAAGGGAGGGGCGGGCAAGGAGAAAGGTGGTGGAGGAGAGTGGGGAGTGAGACCGACCGAGGTCGCCCACTTGCGTACTAGGTAGGTTACTATCCCCCTCCCCATCATCTATCCCTTCTGCTGCTTTGTCCAATCACATCTCTCCTAAAACCCCCAATAATTCAATATCCTCTCTCTCTCTCTCTCTCCCCTCATATTCTGGAGTAAATTGATCGCCCCCTCTCCCTCGTTTCATCACGTATAGTCTGTTTGCTTTAAAAGACCTTTTACTATTGCACTTTTTACTATTAATTACCCATCAATATCAATATTATTATTATTTTATTATTTATTATTTATTATGGTTGATGTTGTAGTTGCATAATAACAGTAGTGAGAGGACGGGTCATCCATCCATTCAAAGTAGCCGACAGCCGACCAATTGTACTAAATATCACCCCTTCCCCTTTCTCCTCCACTCCCCATCACTCGCACTCACTTCCATCATATACCCCTCCATAACTCTCTCTCCCCCCCCCCCCTTCTTTATCCTAAGCTTTTGGGCTACATCATTATTGGGCTTATCCTAAGCTTTTGGGCTACATCATTATTGGGCTTCTTAATGTTATCCTCTTTAATTTAAATCAAGCAAGATAATACCCACGTCACCACGTATGGCCTAAGGAGTTAACAATAGAAACTGCCCTTGTTAATAATATTTGTGTTACTCGCGACTTTATTGCGTTTGCTGCGTCGTTCGGGTCGTGGCTTTTGAGGAAGTATTAAATTAATCCCCCAAAAATCATGTACCAAACTCTTGGGGAGGGTGACTAAAAAGTCACCATCCTCAATCACGGCTTTACGGCCGGTCCCAATCTTAAACAATCAAATATTTAATTTACAAAAGAGAGAGATGGTAAAGAAACGATGACAATATAATAATCAAAGATGGGAGAAAGAGGGAGGGAGATGGGAGTTTGGGCTCCTCACAATCACAAGAAAGCCATGGAGTGTGACGAACCTGATGATGTTCCCCCCCACACACACCTAATTAACTAACAACCCGCCTCATCTCCTTGTCAGAGTGAGAGAGCATTTCCGAGGGTGGCTGCCTGCTCCCCCAATCCAACCCTTTCCAATCACCACCTTTTACATTTCTCTCTCTCTCTCTTCTATTAATCCTTTTCTCGAAACTCCGCCCATTGTACCACCTGCATCACTGTTTCTCTCTACTTCGCCTCAAACTTAGCATTCTCTCTTCCCCACGATCCTAGAGCCGCTCCAAGTCCTCTCATTGGGGATGTTGACATACATGGATTTTAATACTTAATTTTTAAGGACATGTAATCTTTAACACGAATATGAAAAAATAAATAAATTTTAAAAGCTAAAAATATTAATTCTAGTAAGAAAATATTTAGACCATTAGTTTCCATTGTTTTTAGATGAAACACCGACTTGCATCTATTTTTAAGATAAATGCTTTACACTTTTTGAACTGCATATGTAAAAATGCGATCCAACCCGCATGAAACAATTTTCCTATATATAAACCACCCAACCAACAAACAAAGAAAAAAAAGTTAGGGGAACAGAGATTTTAGAGACTATTCAAACCCAATATTGCTTTAATTAAATTTAAACTCCACTATCATCCAAAAAACAAATCAAACATTGAACAAGATAATGAAGGAAAATTTTCCCACCTTATTAAAAACTAAACCTAAGTGGTCGGTATTGACAAAACACTCACCCCCACCTACACTAAATTGAAAATCAAATCAATCAACGGTAGAGGAAAAAAATATAGCTAGACATAACCTTTACTTACTCGCGGGCCTCTAGCGTGGTACGATTAAATTAATAACAAATGTGGAAGTGGGAAACGGAGACCTGCGACCTTTGCCTGCAGCTATGGAAACCACCCAATTACATGCTTTCCTTCTCCCTCTCCTGCTCTTTACACGGCATCTTTGGGACACTAAAAAACTCACGAGATTTCCGTGGTAATAATACATCAAAATCAGAACTGACAAATCTTGAAACCCACCCACCACTCTGATCGCCCAGTTGCGCATTTGCAGCATGACTTCGTCAACCAATTAGCTATCCTGTTCCATCTCGCGATTGCCCCAGCTAGTTATAGGATCGCGTATTTCATTCTCTCTGATTCCATATTTTATATTTATCTTATTTTTGGGTAATTTGTAAGGGGTGGGGGGAGGAGGCCCCTACCCGTCTTTTTTATTAAATAAAGATGGAGAAAATATATATCATATTTTAACAACCCTATTGTAGGTCAATTGTGCCGAATCATGGAATAACGGCATAAATAAAATCCGACGATCTAGAACGCCAAACTGTAGCGTCAAAAGAAATATTCCTTTCTTGGCAAGTGTCTCTGCTACCTTATTAGCTTCGCGATAAATGAGATGAATGATCCACTTACTATCGGAAAGTTTGTGTCGGCAATTAACTGCTACCATGTGGAGTGCCCATGGAGCTCTGCAACGCCTTTGAATAACGTTTACCAGTAAATAAAGGAACCATCGCCACCTGCCATTCTTGGGATGAGAATAGAATCCGAGACTTCAACATAAGGCTCATACCAAGGTCCCAACCAATTCTCAACCGTTTTCCGTTGCGGGGATTTGAACTCGGGTCGTTTGGATGAAAGCTAGATATCCTAACCGGACTAGACAACAACGGATTGATATTTTTTTTATATTTATCTACTTCACAATAATGGACTCTCTCTCTCAATTAACATATATACAAGCTAATTTATCACGAACGATGGAAATATTAATGAATCTTAAAGGCCATTGATTGCACATCTATCACTTGATGACAATGCTCTATAATGCACCATGACAAACTTCATTAGGTTACTAATAAAAGATTGTGGGAAATCCACACTATTGGTGAAAAGCCCAACCCCAATTAACTAATTTGGGGCCCCATTGGCAGGAACTGACCTTTTTCTTTAATAGCAGAATTTTCAATCAAGAGAATACTCTTCTCATTCAATAAAGGCCAACAAACAGTGTGGATCCGGGCAAACAGGAAGCTAGAATCATAAGTATTAATCAGATATCATATAAATGATTGGGCTCGAATCTCCAGCTTTCCTAACCAAGCTGGGAGAGAGAGAGCAAGATTAAAAAAAGCCCCATACCATCTGGAGGGAAATCGTACCTTCCTCATTGTCGACCATCCATTTAAAAAATCAAACGTATATGAACCTCAACCATTCAATCAAGCAGTAACATGCGCCCTCAATTGACATCTTAAAAAGTCGACATATGTACTACTTGCATTTGTTGGAGCATGATGTGTACCAAAAATGAAGCTTCTTGACTGCAAAACCAGTGTCTAGGGTTAGTTCAAATGTACACAGTTTGCTCCCCTGCACACGCCATGCATAATGCGAGGCACTAGAGAGCTGACAGATGGTGGGCTCATCAATCAAAGCCAACAGTTCAGATGGCTTGAAGTGGGGCATCCTATGCTGCAAGTCTACAACTACAAACCGGTTTATCTTAGTGTCTGTCCTGAGCAAGCGAACAGAACCCATTCATCTTTCCAACAACGAACTGCAGATGATGCTATATATAGAGAGAGAGAGAGATGGAATATTCTCTCAAGTCAGGCACGGACAGGTCAGGTGTTAAATTGGAGAGGAGAGCGGTAGAGAATGTGGTCGATCAAGATAAAGATAGAGAGAGAGAGGAGGCTGGGTTGCGAAAGAGGGTGAGGGGGTTCCAATCACTCTTGAGGACGTGGAGAGAGGGGATGACGTGGGTCAATCAATAAAATTAGTGGGCACTTTTGGGCATCCCCCAATTGAGGGAGAGGTGAGGTTGCTATGTGGTCCTCTCGCATTAGCTTCTGCAAATCCATGTCATCCCCCTTGCTACCCGCTTCCCACTAGCAGACATCCTGACATCACTGCATGCCTCATCATGCAGTGACTCATCATATGCCCACCCATATTTTTACTCATAATAATGCCACACAAATACACACCATTTATTGTATATATGGCTGCATGCATATGCATATGCATATAGAACCTATCTCACAAAAAGCAAGATTTCCAACAGGGAATCCACGTGGCACTACTTGGTTAAGTTTGTATAGGTTTCACTTTCTGAGACAATGCACATGACTTTCCATAAAAGTGTATCTCACCACAAATGTAATGATCCATAGGCATATTCTTTCAATTTCACCATGTGTTAAACAAGTCATAAGAGAGAGAGAGAGAGAGAGAGAAAGAGAAAAGAAAGCATGAGTCAAATACCATAAACATTTGCATTCTTCACATATCAAGGAATAGATTGCCCACAAGTCTAGGAGGTCGCCATCCCAACCTGTAATAATTTGGATTGTGCACACCCACCCAATTATGCTCACAGGCATCCCCTCTGAATGCCGGCATTGAATAGTGACATCTGTACTCATGATAATGATGCAGACATGAACATGGACAACCTGCCTGAGGTGTGCAGCACACATGTTAGAGGATATCAAGACTCACACATGATGCCTGCCTGAGCCATATAGAACATATGTTAGCACACATTAAGTCTAACATGACTCAATACATATGCACATAAACAGTTGTAAATCAACTCACATGGGCTTGTCTGCATTGCCATCTAAGTCTCCAAACCCATGTCCTAGGAAATCCTCAAACGAACACATACAAATCACAGCCTTGGGGATCCAACAGCAGTGTCAATAGGATGCATACTGAGTGCAATCAGTAAAAAAGGAGGCTCAGCACTCGGACTAAAGAAAAATCATGGAAAACATTGGAAATCAGGAATAATCAACCTGATTATTTCAGTTCCTGAATGCCCACCCATAGATCAATTGGTCCTGATCCAGCTATTTTCAACCCCATCATAGATTATTTAGGCACATTGTTAAATGATTAAATTGTTCCAACTGTCGTCTAGGAATCTCTAATGCATATTGGTGGCGAAAGAAAAACAAAAGGAGAAAGCAATCCTATCACAGGAGAAAATAACAAAAACAATAATAACATGAAAGAAATGGTTGGAGCAAAGAGCTGGAACCCAGGATTTCCCAAAAAGATACAGAGTCCAGCTCCTGAGTTGTGTTTGTAATATGCGTGTACTTAGGGAATATTCAACCGTAATATTCCTGGAAAACATGACAGTGTAGAAGCGGTACAGGAACCTATCTAAGCATTATCCTTTCTATAAACTTGTTTTAATTACAGGGCACGCTTTGGTCATTAGCAGGTTTCTACAATTCGTTTTCGGTTCTCTTTTACTTTTTGACAGGTACCAAAGAAATGGAAAAAGAAGACGGGTGCACAAGCCAATGAAACTTGTCAAAATGATCCAACTACCCAATTCACGAAAACATGCTATCTAACAAAAATATTAATGTCCATGTCACAAACTTGCACCAAATGCAACTGCCAAAAATGGACAAAAAAAATACCCCTAATGGAAACGTGTTATGTTCCAATACTTGGGAATTTCTGGAAAGGATACAGTGTCACAGATTGTATCTTTCTTGAATGTCACAGATTGTCACGGGTGATATCTCACATCACTTAGCAACAAAACGTCATGTCCTTTGAGCTCCATTGGCTGCTTGTGTTATGCCCATGTGGGCTCCAGTCGTGGTAAGAATAATGGCGTTGTCTCCCGTGTATTTTTTTCCAAGCTACATTGACCATCACGAGGGTTGCCGAACTCCTACACATTATTACATCTTGAAATTTTACTTTAGCGGATGGACATTGCAAGGTTGATCCTTCTCATGTTCACTCTAAGGAGGAGACTAATGATTTTTGGAAGATCTTGTTTGGCTATTTTTCCCATCCCCCAAACTAATGTCACATGTAAATTCCTGATGTAAAATAGTGGTTTTGCTGGATCCTATCCTTGTCTCAATGGCATTCCATTGGTGTTTACAGTTAAGGGAGACTATTGCAAGTACTGTGTCTGAGAGAGTAATCTGTCTGAGAGGACAATCAATTGTTACTCATCATAACGGGGGTTCCTTAATTTACAAGACTTCAGAATGAGACTAAAACGTTCAATGAGGATAATAACATAAATATCCTGAATGCTTATAGAAATACAACCACACAGTAAATGTATCACAACACCCATGAACCACTCTCAATTTGCCTACCAAATGATACAAGCAACAACTTAATAAAGTGGTTATGCATCTCATGGTAAACAAGTGTTGACTTGTTTGGTTGACGTACTCGTGTGAAGAGTACATAACAAGTAAACTAGCCTCTTAATGCAAGGTAGACCAATGATGCCATCAAGTAGCCTAATTGGTAGATAGTTTGTTGGCACAACGTTTACTCCATCAAGAAGATTAGATCCTACTATCAGAACCCTAATGTCATTTAATAGAGCCTGAAACCAAATGATTTCACGAAAGGATACTACCACGGCTCTATATTCCAGCTCTTCACAAGACTTGGATACATTTTTTTTTTTTGGGTTGTTCCAAAACTCACGTGATTTGTCCAAAAAGATGCAATATTAACAAGTAGATCTCATTGAATTTAGAATCTACACAAGCACAGAAATATGCAGTTAATGTTAGAATGTTATGAGACCACAATATCACTTCGAACATATCCATCTGAAAATAGGTCGAACAGACATAGCATGGGAAATGCCAGGCACATGAACAAAGAGACTAACCATCACCATCGTGTGAGTACTGTCTAGTTTGGCGATGATCAAATGGAATCCTGCAACTAAGCACATATGCGCATTCAAATTCAAAAGGAGCTCAAAATCACTTTCTTAAATGGTCAGTCTTCTGTCGTGTAGGAGTGTCAAATTCGTGGAATCAGTCAGCCTCGCCTTGAAAAAACATGCTGAATGTACCATTGTGGTGTAATTATAGTTCTTCAGGATTTCCTTTTAGAAGAATTCTTATAATCTAATCTTTCCAGAAAATTTATTGGTCCAAAACTCCAAATTACCAGAAATACAAGTGGCCAAAGTAGGCTAGGAAGAAGATGCCAAGATACAGATAAAGATAAGGACATGGATAGTGAAAACACCTGTATACGCTCCCATAATCTAGGATACAGATTTTCAATAAATACATGCTATAGCTCATGGGGTCCGTTTTGATGTACCCATTATCACCGATAATTAACTGTTTTAATAAAATTAATCTTTATAATTAATTGTCTGATGTTTGGCTGTGTCCATCATAAAGTTATCAGAATATAGGCAGTTTTGCGTATAAATTTGCCCTTTTGAAAAACTGCTTTTACTCTATTCAAAGCAATTTTCTGAGATTCTTTAGCGAAAAATAGCTTAGAATCATCGAATATACATAATACGAGGCACATTCCAAAGAGCTAATAAAATAATATTATCCAGAATATAGGCTGTATAGTAATTTTAGATAAGAGTCAAATCGACATCAATTTAGCCGTCATCCAAACAGGCCTTAGATGTATGCATTAATTATAGCCTATATAATACATTAAACTTCATTAGTCAGTAGACTGCACATGGTCCATGCGCAGAAATCTAATGTGATGAGTGTGGAACTCTATAATAGAAAGCTCTCTCGATATCTATTAATGGGAGATGGAACAGCAGTTTAAATATCAGCTCAATTGTGTTATGGTGTTGGGAACCCTAGCCAACACCTACCCATTGAGCACTATACAACCCTTAGCTATATCACATTTTAATCCAATACAAGGCTCTTCCTTCCTCAGAACTCTTATTTCTATTGCATTTTTATGTAATAAAAAGCTCTTCCCAAACCCAGCCTAAATACATGCATTTGACAATTGATACATGATTTTATATTTTATTCAGAGAATTCTCTAGTATAGTTTTAGCAATTGTATATTTACCAGTATCCTAGAAGTATCCATTATAAATATCAGTCTCATGGCATGTGAACAAAAGTACGTCAAGCATATACAGATATCTGTGCCTAGGGTGGTCCCAACAACAACAAAAGAGAATACATGAGGTCCCAAGCACAAAAACTTTTTGCCACAAAAATATTGCCAAAGTTTTACCACCCTATACATGCAATTAAATATAAATGCAATGACCTAAATAATTACAAAAATATATCAAATACATAAACAAAACCAAGCACACATAATACACAGGTCTTAACCAGGAAAAAATCTCTATTTCATTAGTTACCCACTTATTGTTGGGCCTTCCAGTTCATCAAAACAATCGCATCAATTCTATCGCAAAAATGACGGTCCAGGTTCAGGAACAAGTGTCTCGATGCATAACCAGGGCTAAAATTATCAAATCACGGTCAATATGTGTTTGTCTATCACATCCTAAATATTGATGTTGCATGTGACAAGGATCCTTATATTGACTTCCAGTTCAATGGATTGACTGGAGAAGATCGGCGAGAATGAAACATCCAATCCTCTCAACAAGGATCCCTTTTGAAAGTGAGACAAACTGGGGCATTGCAGGTGTTCAAGCATTAAGGATCACAAGTCTCAATACAATAAATCAAACCAAGAAACATGATCCAAGAAACATAGATAGAAACAATGTGGAGTCAAAAGAGAGGACATATAATCAAATACAACATCGATGGTACACTAGAAAGTAAAATCATATTGCAAAAAATAATCTAATTACTATACGGGTTGATTATGACCTTCAGAACTTTCTTTTTTTCTTCTTTTTCTTCACCTTTTTTTTTTGGTTTTTTTTTTTTGTCAAGTTGTTGGTAATGTATTTCTGACCTTCAAAACTTTACTAAAGCCCCCATCTCAATTAATGCATAAGAAACTGTTGAGCGGCACCAAGGTGGCCAGCGGAGGATGGCAACCTAGGCGGGTGCCTCAATCTTGAGGCTCCCTCATCTCGTATATATTTAAATGTACATATAAATATAGGAAAAGTATACAAAGAGAATATTTACTTTTTGTACAAGAAGGTCACAATCACTTATGTCCACAATTTAAATTAGGCAGCTGTAAGCTTGTCATTAATTAGACTCAGTTAAAAAAAATATTCTCAAACTTCATGACATACCCCAAACCATCCAATTTGACATCTAATGACTAGGAGTGATTGTGACCTTGTAACAATGGCAAATGGTCTGATAGTATACAATCCCATAAATATACACCTAAATGTACAATATTTATACACATGATATATATCCATATATGAATATGTTTCTTTCATGTGTGTGTGCATATAAATACATCTCTGCAGATAATATATGTATTTAACAATGTGTTGGATAAGGATTTTGTCACCCTAACAATCATAACCGTCCATTATCTTTCCTTCTAATCTGAACCACCGGAGGGTGCTTGTGCACCTTTTGAGTGTCCACATCATATGGATGCTATACCATCCCATTAAAAAGTTAAAATAGTAAGGCCATCTAAGGTTTGAAACTCTAGACCTCTTGTGGAGAGGCAGCGAGGTCTGCCCCTATGAACTCCAATGCGTGTGTTTCATAGGCAAATTGTTTATTATTATATGCTAACAAGAATTATTTAATATAAAAGCTACATGGACCTTAGTACTTGGAGCTTGACCTCGGGACTTCTCTACAAGGGGAAGTAAGCCCTACCATGACATCGCAGAGTTATGTAAAAGTGTAAACATCATCGTTAAAGCCTTTTCCCAACTAATCTGGGTCGGCTATGTAAAAGTGTAAACATAGTATACAATATAACATAGTTTTTGTCATGTCATGCCATATCTATTGTTTTCAATGAAGAACTAGACACTTTAGATACTGAAGACACTAACACTCGTGGTTCTTTTTAAACATGTTTCAATGGTGGTTTGCTTCCCTCCTCTCCCCCTTATCATTTACTGCAGCCTCATGGATGCAAGGAAAAAACATCCATGGGCCACTTCATACAAGGCTTCTTAGACCCAATCAGCACTCTCTTACTACCTTCACAAGAACCCACTTCAGTCTCACCTTGTTCGCCATCTTCCTCATCACCAACACGTTAACCCCATCCTTCAACTCCACCAACATTGCCTCCTTTGCTGCCAACTACTTTATGACGTCCAAACATTCATTGATATCTTTCCTAAAATCTGTCAGGACTTTCTTCATTGTGGCAACACCCCCCTAATACCGACAAGGTGGTTTTTAAGTCTATCATTACTTCGAAAACACCCTCTTATACTGACAAGGTGGTTTTTAAACCTATTAATTATCCCATATGTATTTTGGTTGCAATAGGTACAATAAGCTTTGTTTAAGTCATTTTTAAGCAAGTAAAAACATATTTTCAAGTTGGATCCCTACTCTTACATGATGAAAAAGAAATCTAAATGTTCGCGAAAATGGCAGAGTCGACTCAGACTCGGCCAAGTTACTAGGCCTCGATAGGGTGTCACAACGAGTTTGTGTCAAAATCCGCAATGGGCCACCTATAGAATACTCGAGTGAGTACTGTACAAACTCACTTGAGTAATGTAGAGATTTGATGCAAGACAAGCTGCCTCTTATTTTTGAATTTTTCTTATTGAATTATAAGGATGTATATTTGGAATTTTCTAGGGTTATTTTTTTTAGGGTTCTTAAGTTTTTCTAGGATTCTAGAATTTTTATATTTTTAGGATTTTAGGAGATGTTTAGAGAAGTGGTTAGAATACTTATAGAATTACTTGTTTTAGTAGGGTAAAAAGTGTCATTACATATTTTCTTTTAGGACAGTTTCTATGAGTCCATGTAGAAGTGAGTCCCCTCGTAAAAATCTACTTTTGAGATGGATTTCTTTACCTAATTTCGAAGGACATGTAATCTCTAACATGGAGATCAGGAATATGAATAAATAAATAAAATTTGAAAATAAAAAATAATAATTCAATCAGAAAACATTTGGATCATAGTTTCAATGATTTTTAGATGGACCACCTATTTGCATCAATCTTTAAGATGGAAGCTTTATACCTTCGGGACCGCAAATGTAGAAATGCTGTCCCCGCCGCATGAAACAAGTTTCCTTTCTTTTAAGTGAAGGAACTTATGTGGTATTTTTTATAATGTTTTAACTTAAGTGGGGGCACTTTCGGTCTTTCTTCATTACAATTTCATAAAAGTGGATTGAATTGTTAGGGTTTCTAAAATTTTTGGGGTGTGAACAATAGAAACAGGTTGTGAATAGTAACAAGCCCTATTTAGGGTTTTGGGGTCACTTGTTTTTAGCAAGGAAAGCCAGTATCCACTCAAATCTGGCCTATTTTGATGGTTTATTGAATGGTTTTATCTATTTTTCTCTATTTTCCTGCATCAAGATCTTGAGCTAGACTCACACGATTTCTACAATAGTTAGTAGAATAGCTATAGCGCTCGCTTGAGTATTGTAAACTAAAACTGAAAACAAAAGGGAGGCAAACCCCTCAAACCAGCACACCCACCTACCCCCCCCCCCCCCACCCTCGAACCAACAAAACCCCACCTCTTTTCTTTCTCAAATTCAACAAAGGTCCACTAGATTTCATGGATTTTGTAGATCAAATAATTGAGTGAATTTTTTGCTAATTTTGAATTTTTTTTTATTTCTTCGAAATAGATGGTCGATCTTTAATGAAAAACAAACCCTAGGCCTAACTTTGTATTCTTGATCCAACTGTAGGCTACTTTTGTATTCTTGATCCAACCATAGGCTATTTCTTCCACACAAAAAAAAAAGGATTATATTGTTATGAATTTTGAAATTACTATTTATCTTAAATTTTCAAAGGCTTAGACCTCCTAGATCCGAAGTCAAATCACAAAATTGGTTTGGGGGTTTTTCTTGGGACTCCATAAGGAAGATTAGGCAAGGATTTGAAGCTTTGATTTGCCCCAAGCACAAAGACCAGAAAATCGGCCTCAAATTTTGGTAAAAATTAATTTTCTATTTAAATCAATAATTTAATCTTTACTATTATAATTCAATCTAGTAATGTTTGTGTTGTTACCGCAATTTCTTTCATTTTTTGTTGTATCCTGTCAAAAATATATCAGTTAGATTGTTTTTCAATTTTCTTTAACACAAAGAAACTTTATTATGGTTGTAATGTTACTAATTGTACTATTAGGTTTTTTATAATGTTATGGCTTTTAGAAAGTGATTGCTATTTTATTTTTCTCTATGATTTATTCAATACTACAAATTCAGTTTTAGATTATTTAAAATCCATTTTGAGAAAATAAATTACCCAAAGACTTCTAAAGACTCATTTTATTAATTTAAACATCATTTAAGGTCAAATTAATTAATTCTAAATTAATTTGATGGCATTTGGATTCATCTATGTTAAGGAAATAGCAAAATCACTAAAGCACTCCATCTTCTATGCGAGATTATAATCCACACCTACTTGCTCAAACTGACCCAGTAATTCCCATGACCCACAGTCCATCACATCGATTCATGATTGCGCTACCAAAGTCAGCCAATAGGTGAAGGGACACAATCCTAGTCTATGGATTACAGGTTCTACCCTAGGGACAAGTCCTAGGTCACACAGACCTGTGCACACACATAACATATATGGGGGGTCATCTCTTGTACATGTACACGCATCACCCTCGATGGTGCTTTGCTTCCCCATAGGGCTACTTGTGCACATGCCATGTGATGGTATAAAATGAGGCTTTGGCCCTCGTCCCTTCAGGCCCACCAATCACACATAAGGGTCTCACAGTCCCTTGGCTCACTACTCCAGGCAACTCTGACCTCGTCAAGAGATAACCTTACTAACCCTTCTCAGTTGTACTCTATGCTCAGGTATTTAGGATATTCATACTCAACTGGCCTAGTTCGTCAAGCCTAGTCAGTGTCTTGGCAAACAATATTGCCAACCTCGGTCCCTCCGGACCATACTCCCACTGCAATTCTTTGTTCCACTATATCAAAAATTGATTACATGCTCTCATAAGGCCTTTAATGGCCACAAAAACCCAACAAATCTCATGTAAGATGTCATAAGTGAGTTGAGGAAGGCAAGGGCTTATGCTAAAAAGGGAAGAGGGTCACAAAATTTATATACCATCATAAGCCTAATGAGACAAATGTGATCAATAGCTCATTGGGCTTCCCCTTACGAGATTTGCCACTTCATAATTGACACTATAGTCAATCATGAGGCAGCAATGAGGATAGGAGGCAGATGGTGGCATTAGAGGGGGGGTTTCTTCATCTCTTGTGAGGTGTCCAGCTGGAAGAGACATTCAATATATTATTAACAGTTAAAGATTTTGGGATAGATTCAATGAGGTTGTTCAGGCCACTACACTACTTCAATTGTGGTATTGAAGATGGTTGATGCAATTGTTAAGCCTGCCATAGGATACCTTTATGAGGCTCTAGACCAAGCAAAGAAGGTCATACACGCCAATTGCAAATTCTGAGATAAGGTCTAAGAGATCATCAATAAGAACTGGGCTAACCTAATTGCACCACCTAACCATGCAATAGGTAACTTTAAATACCAATGTCATTTTACTTATCAATATTAATTTGTGATTTGTATTGATCGATATGTTTATACTATCAATGTATTAAGGCTTCTTGCTCAACCCAGCTTATCATTATTAACCGGATCAAAGCCAACACTGAAAGGTGGCTATGTAGAACTCTAGGCTATAAATTAAAAAGATTTACTTTCTTTTCTTTTATTAATTGCTGGAAATTCTACTTACATGTGCCACAAATACAATAAATGCAGCCTACGACAATCTAGGATCATTATAAACTTCCTACCAAAATAAAAATTTTATTCAACTTAACAGAATACTGTGATTTTATGAATAAAAAAGAAGACAAAAACAACAGCAAATAAAAGCTAGATAAGTAAAGGAAGACTTACTGGCTTTTGCCTAAGGTTACCCCTCTAGGGCTTTTAGCACATCCCACACTCGATCACCTGACTAAAGACGCATTTAAATTTCGGACCCTGTTGAACTCCCAAATCTGAATTTTGGAAGCAACTCTGGGACACCCTTACTAAATTTTATTTAGGGCTAGAGTGCAACTAGGGTTTCACTGAGAAGACCCTCTAAAAACTATGGCAGGCCACATAGGAAAAAACCCTAAGCCTAAGGCTGGGCGTGCCCTTCTCTTTCTCTCTTCAAGATTTGGGCGTGCCACCGTAGGCACTTAGGGAGGGTGGTGTGGCCTTAGGAGTGAGAGAGAACTAGAGAGGACTCAAGAGAGAGAGATGAGAGAAAAGTTTAGAGAGAGGCGTGGAGAAGAGAGAGAGATGAGAGAGATTTAGAGAGGGGCATGGAGAAGAGAGATGAGAGAGAATTTTAGAGAGGGGCGTGGAGAAGAGAGAAAGGAGCAAGAACAGAGATGTGTAGAATGAGGGGAAGAGCCCTCCTATTTATAGACCACTTGGGCCTAGGGTTTCCCAATCAAATTAGGAGTTCAATTTGATCTAGAATTCTTTAAGTGATCGGTGAGGTGAGAGAGAACTTTAATCTACACCATTCATCTCCAAAATGAGCTATCATTGATCTAGAGTGAATAGGTATGAACCTTATTGCCTGAGATTTAACCTATATCCACTTTTAATCCATCTATTACTTTGATTAGTCAAATCTCAACAATCCAAGATAAACTAGGAATGTTATTATCTAACAAGCAGATAATTAGGACCTCTAATTAAACTATGACTTGGTCAAATATTCTAGATAACAAGAAAATCACACTAAGCTAAGAGAATGTGTTTGGGAAGTAATAAGCCCCTTTGACATCTCTTCAACCTCAAAATAATCAATGAACTCATTGATTTATAACGAAAACATGATTATTATTATTTTGAAACAAATGGCACATAAAGTGGGCGAAGTGAGCCCTAGTTGGCTCCACGGGATGCCCTAATGTGGGTCCCACATGTGTGGACCAGGGTCCTTAACCCCCCACTTGAGTCCCACACACAATTTCACAAATTACAGAAATACCCTTTTAGGGTTTTTCGACATTTAAAATTCGTTTTTAAAATTCTAAAAATTCCCAAAAATTCATAAAAACATATTTTAAGTTGAAAATAATATTTTTGGAGTTTCATAAAAATATAAAACACATATAAATACAGCTTAAAAGTGGACAGGTACCTAATGGGTAAAAAACAAGTGACTATCAAGGCACTCCACCTCTGCCAGAATCTATGATCCACTATGTCTTACCAAACTAACCCAATGGGACCCATTACGCACAGTCAAGTGCGAGACTTATGATTGGTCATCAAAGTTAGCCATAAACAGTGGAAACACAGCCCCAGTATACTGACTACAAATTCCCCTCCTAAGAGCAAGTCAAATCCACTCATAGTGTAAGAGGGTATTCTCTCTATGCACACGTACACATCTCCCTCTACATAGGGTTGCTCCCCAAAAATGAGGTTGTCATATGTACATGCCGTGCAGAAGTTTGTTGAGGATTTGGTCATCGCTCACATAGGCCAGTCCTCTGCCCACAGGAGACAACACAACTCTCCTAGCCTAACAAACAATGTCCCTGGGCATCTCCCTCGACGGTTATATCATATGCCCAGGGTAAGGGTTTTGGACATGACCCGGCCATAGACTGCCCAACCCTAGGTCAGTCAGCCACAATACACTCCCATTGAAGTGTACAAATCACTATAAAAACAAACACCTGAGATCATGGAGGGTTGAAATAATATATCAAAAAAATGGAACCTAACAAGAAGACCCAAATTCTAGCCATGAGAGAGGTAAAATCTTGTAAAAAATTTTAAGTTGGGAAATACTGATGTCGTTTAGTTTGTACATCATCATCATCATCTAAGCCTTATCCCAACTATTTGGCT